AAAATTAATATTGGCCTACCGCTTGTACTAATAAAGTGCCAAGGGCCTAAGTGGTCACCTTAATATTTAAAAAAAAATATATATATATATTATATTTTATATATTATAATTTAATTGGTTAATTTTTTAAGTCAGGTAAGGGGGAGGAGGGTAAGGCTACTATTTAAAAAAAATCAGGTGATTAATGACACCTCCCTAAACATTATAGCAGGAGATTTTAATACAAATCTAGACCCAACTTTAAACAGAATAAGCCAAGCTAATACACAAAGTGACCTATCAAGGTTACAACTTAAAAGGCTATTAAACAACTTTCTGAACTCTGCATCTCTTTTGGAGAAAAAACTCTTTCTTATGTTTTACCAGAATATAAGAAATAATTAATCTATAGTTACACACCTAGACTATATTTTTATAGATAGGAGCTATAATTTTTTAATCAAGAGAACTGAAACTCTTTATGGAAACTCAGCTTATCTGCTAGTCAAATGTACCATTATCCTAGAAAATAAAGCAAAAAAGGCATCTAGTTGGAGATTCAATAAAGACTCTTTTAGAAACAAACTATTGGAAAAATAAGTCATTGAAAAAATTAAATCTGTCAACTCGGCATCATACTGGAACTGGTACAAAGTTTGCATACAATCAATCATAAGAGCCTTTAAAATACCCAAAGCTCCAGAGAGTAAGATAATGATTCTGAATAAAAAAATAACCAAGCTTAAAGACTCTTTAGCAGCAAACCCTAAACAAACAACTATGCAAACAAAAATAATATACAGATACAAGAGGAGCTCTCCCAACTAGCAGAGAGATGACTAACTCATTTAAAAGCTAATTGAATTGAACAAGAAGAAAAATCTACCAGATACTTCTTCTCATATTTTAAAATCTAAATTAGTAACTTTGCTTTGAAAGAAATTGAGATTCTGGAAGCTAATATACAAAATAAAGAAGATTAAACACTACAATATATAAAAGAAAAATACACTTTCTACAACCTCAACTCAAAAGAGGAAATAACAACCACAATCAGAAATCTTCTAAACAATAAATTCCCAGATATTGATAGGTTAATATATAAATTCTACAAATTAATAAAGGAACATATAACTCCAATTCTAGAAATCATCTTTAACCAGGTCTTGAACTCTAAAAACTTACCAAATTCCTGGTACAAAAATCCAATTACTCTTATCTCAAAAAAATCCTTAGATTTAAGCAATATAAACAACTGAAAACCTATTTCCTTATAAACTGTGATACCAAAATCTTTATGAAGATCATTGTATCTAGACTGAATAGAGTCTGCAGTACAATAATCCTGTCACACCAACAAGGTTTTATCACAAAAAGAACAATTTTAGATGCTACACTTGATGTTTTTACAACTATGAGAAACCAATTAGACATCTTAAAGCAACACTAGCTACTTTTAGTGGACTAACAGAAAGCTTTTGACTGAGTTAACTACAAAATATTGCAAATGGTTCTTTTAAAAATTTACTTCTGCATAAAATTTACAAATTTAATAAAAAACCTTTTTACAAACCAGATAGCTCATATCTTCGAGAAGGGCTCTCTCTCAGAACCATTCAAAGTGGAAAGGAGTTCAACAAGGAGACCCCCTCTCTCTTTTATTATATGTCTTGGCTTTCAAGCTACTAATTCAATTGATAAATAACAAAATCTGGAGAATTCCAGTAAACAACCTCTTCTTTAAAACAGTGGCCTATGCAGACAACCTACTATAGGAATCAGCTCTCTCTCAGACTGGATAGAATTTATTTGAAATATATAAAAAAGCCTCAAACACAAAAGTTAATAAACACAAAACCAAGATGGTTTCTTTAACTACACTGACTAGAAACATAGACCAATTCCAAATAACTCTTCTAGGCTATGAGGTTTATTTAAATAGCCTGTATAGAAAGAATTTATAAACAGACACCTCAAAGATACATTAAACAATTTAGCTCTTAGGAATCTATTCTTTAAAGGAAAAATTTTGGTCACAAACTCTTTAGTTCTTTCTTGAATTTGGTACATGGCCTATATTCTATCAGCTTTGATGGTCTGGCTCAAACTTCTTTCTGAAAATACATTCTGGGCAAAGGTCAAACAGACAAGAATTGCAGACATACTATACATATAATAAAACATCTCAATCAGACAAGCCTTAACCAGCTCTCCAATATATAGTAAAGCCTGGCTCTCAGAATGGAAACTCTACCTTCTTACATGGAGGAAAGCAAATAAAAGAGTTTTCTTCCATACAAATTGGCCTTGAAGTCTTGAAAACCTCTCTCTAAGAGGAATTAAAGAAAACAAAATTATAGTCAAAAAGATAACTGAACTACTCAGAGGGGACCTAACATCTAGTAAGATTAATCAGTCACTGTTTTCAAACTCAGCACCAAACTGAATACTTCTTAAAGAAGTTGATAACAAGAAAAGAAACATCTTCTGGCATCTCTACTCAGGAGTTAGGCTTCTACTTATGGTGCGAGAATAACTAGCAAACAATTAAACACTTTGTAACAGAATGCAGAATCAGCAAGAAAATTTGGGTAGAAGCTTACAAACTGATCAATATAAGACAAAAACCAAGTATCCTATCCTCTTTGAAGGAAGTCTTTACTGCACAAAACTTTGTTAAGCGAAACCACCTTAACACAACAATATAGATATAGTGTTCCAAATTGTTAAAATTTTACTAACCGGTTAGTTGCCAACTGTAGTTAGAAACTAACCGGTTACATATATCACATGACCAATTTAATCGATTAGTTGGTTAGTTGATTAGTTGGTTAAGTTGGTTAGTTGATTAGTTGGTTGGTTGGTTGGTTAAAATAGCTACACAGCATGTGATACCATGCAGGACTAGTATGATTATACATGCATGTAAAATTCAAAGTATATAAGATATATACTATAATATAACTTATATTTAATATTTATTATTTATTTATACGTATTACAAATTAATAAAAATACATATTTAATCTATATTATCCTATTTTACCTTTTTCTAACCCAATCCATTTACCATTCATAACTTTACTGATCTGTTTTACCTATTCTTACCCATTTTGAACCCTAAACCCAATCCACAACCTAACTAATATACTAACCCTAGAGCTTAAGTAGTGCTTTTTTACTTTAGAACCTATAATAAACCCAGGTCTATAATGCAGCCAGCTTTGAATATATCTATATATATATATTTTTAATTTTTCTATGCTATTATAGCAATTGGAATACTAGTGGCATCTTTTTATTAGAACTATTTATATTGTATTACATTGTGACTTTTTTTGTCTATATACAGCTACATGTGCTACTCTACTATGTACTTTGTTTCCATATTACCTGCAGGTAAACTACCTTACCCATCTGGTGGTATTATCGGTGTCAGCTTCTGTGTTTATGGGTTCAGTTTCCCAGGCCTACTTTTGTGTCACCAGGTGCTTTTTCTGTCCATATTTCCTTATTTTACTTGCTCCTGAGTTTACGGGTTCAGGTGACCAGGCCTACTATCATGTCACCAGGGGCGTCCTTATGTAGTCGATCCTACTTGAAGTTTCGGTCTTCCTTCCATTTCAGATTTGAGCAAGGGTACTTTAAGTGGTTCCTCTGTACTCCTTTTTCCTTTTTGGGTAGATATCATATGCCTTATATTTTATTGGGGGTTCCTCATATTAACGACTTTCTTTTGTTGGATTCTTATCCTTTTTTGGAAGTTGTGTGACCTTTTCGTAGCTATATCTCGCAATCTTGTGACCAAACGTGGTTCTGGCAGAGAATGATTCCCCCGTGGGTTTCGAACTCGCAACCTTGTGTTTGAGACCTAGGAGTGCTAACCACTACACTATCGACCCATAGGTCATATCTGTATTTTGCAATTATACATAATTGAAAACTCTAATTTTATTATAGCTGTTTTCATAAATTCTGGAACAACTGAAAAAATTGCTAATAACCAAATTGATAAGTTTCTGAATTCAGCCGAATCTGTTGCTGACTCAGTAACTTATCGATTCGGTCATTAGCAATTTTTTCGATTGTTCCATAATTTATAAAAATAGCTATAAAAAAGATTTCAGTTTAAACTGATTATATAGTAAACCTATTATTGAGTAGTGATTTCTGTCATTTGCAGAGAAATTATAAAATAGTTCTTTTGTATCATCTTATAGCCAAATTATTTTACCTAAAATCCAAAAAAGTTAGCATGGTGTTCTTGTACTAGGTAGGTAAGTCAGCGTAATACATAAACTAGCACATCGCCTCATTCTGTTTTGCAAAGTGTGCCCGCAGGTACTTTTTCTTTTTTGATTTTTTTTGCAAAGTACATACATATAGTGCTTTTCCTCTTTCTGATCTAAGCTTGTTACTGGGAAAGTGTGAAAATTCAGCATGGTGTTCTTTCTATGCAAAATCATTATTAAATGATCTGAAAAAGTCAATATAAAGTTCTTGCAGAGTTCAGCATTAAAAATGACAAATTATGCTACTAGAACAAACAACAAAATTTATACTAACCTACAAGTAAAGAACCTAATCCAAAACAACAAAAAACAGCAAGCAACGAAATCCACAACTACAGTAACCCTAGTAATGATAGCAACTTTACATAGACGTGAAACTACCCAAATGGCAAAATCCACATTTACTAAATGGCGATGATATCTAAAGCAATAAGTTTACATTTATAGTAAAATGATAAAGTTAGCTAACGTTAGAAAAAAAATAAAAATAAAAAGTGATTATAACTGATAATTATTATTTATATATCTCGTTATATTATATGGGAACACAGATATATATAAAAATTTTAATATACCTTTAGAGTATATAACAATAAATATTGAACATTTTACTAAATGTATTTCATTTTCTTGGTTATTCATATAATAGTCAGTTCGAAGTTTGAAATAAAAGAAATTATGTTGTATAGAAAAATATATATATATAAAAACAATTTTTATTTAAAAAATTGCATTAGGTTTGAAGTATGTTACATTTTAATCAGATAAACTTTAAACTTATGTACAAATGTACATATGTCAATTTTTAATCGACAGTCATTTAAAAGTGATGTTAAACATTACAATGAAATCATTTTAAGATTTAAAATCTATTAAGTGGTTTGATTTTACAGAATTATGAATTTACACATCATATATGAGAACTAGTCTAGAAAAATGTTGATTTGGGAGTTAAAAGATTCTCCGACTAATCAAATAATTGAAGATTTATAAATTGACAATTTCCTAGTTCAGGAAAATGTCAATCTGGGAGTTATAAGATTCTCCGACTAATTAATATAATTGAAGTTTATCATTATAATCAATCAGAAATCATTTAATTCCCAAATCAACAATTTCCTAGTCTAGTTCTCATATGAATGCTGCCAAGTGACAAAAAAATTTTTATACAGTTAGCTATCTATGAAAATCTATCATGATGATAAATTTTCCATAGAAAGTTAACTATGCGCAAAATATAATTAAAAGTCTGAATGGCCTTTTTCTCTTGGCAGCACTCATATATTGTTGTAGCTGATGCCGAAACTTGATCTATTTTTATATAAGGTTTAAAATTTTTGGGCATTTTTTCTCACTTTTTTTAAGGTTAAAAAATTTGATATTTAAAGAATATAGGTGGGGTTTGATAGAGTTATGTTTTTTCAGCATTAGCTGTGACTTATATTTTAGATTTGAACCATTTTGGTAACTCAGGTCATGATCCAGGTCAACATTTCATTACCCGGTTTTGACCCGGGTTGCTATTTTTCGACCCAGGTAATAGCCCTACCAATAGCCTTCCTAACTGTGACATGATCTAAATTTAATATGTCTAATCAATTATCGTAAAAATGCAGAATCAGATTAACCTAAAATTGACTAATATGCGGAATAGTTGTGTAGTTAATTAACATAGGCAACTAGTTAGTTGACAACTAGTTGACAACTAATGGTTAACCATAGTTGAACTAGTTGATTATAAATCGGTTAGTTGATTAAAAAATTTTCTAACTAGTTAGTTGGAAAGTTGTCAACTATTCGGTTTTTCAACTAACGATTTGAAACACTATATAGATATACTGTATATAATCACAATATATAAAATTTGGTATTGGTATACAAATACTAAATGGGGCAATGCAGATAATTTAGAATTATTAATTCTCTCAATCATTAGTACTCAAATTCAAAGCTCTAAGTTTAACTTCTGTTTGAGTTTTGTAAATAGGAAAATTTGTAAATATCTTAGTAATGTTATTTAATATTTAATATATAAGCATTTAATAAAAAGCACTACAAAAAATAAAACTCTTTCCGGTACATCACCGGAAAATTCGTTCCAAACAAAATTTTGACAAAAAACTCCTCCCTTTTCTCAAACAAACTTAAAAGAACCAGGGCCTTAGTGCTCGCGAAAAGAAAATACTTCGTGACAAACATGGGCAAACAACAAAACAAGAAACTCAAGCAGTCTCTAAACAAAGAGG